ATTATTTTGACAGAATTTTCAACTCTTTAAATTTGAGATCATCCAAAATGTGTCCTAACTTGCACCAAATTCGGTTTTTTCATTGCTCTGTATTTTCTGAACTAAAACATTTCCTACTTAAACTACACCTCAATTTTCAAATCCTCAATCTTGCTTGCAAATCCCTAATGGTCTCACCCCTCCCAAAGACTGTAATCTTCTTCAGTCTCACAACCCTTCAATATATCTTCAGCCATCTAACTGCAGGTGCTTCAACATCCCCTAATCCAGTCGCTCTACCACAGGCAGTCATATCTCCTGGTGCGTGTGCCCTAATTTGGATTTCAGTCCCTTAACCTCTCCACTTCTCCACCTCAATTTCCTTTTTTAAGATGCTCCGTGAAATCTACCTCTTTGCTGAAGCTTTCGAAAATGTATCCAGCTACATCCCTGACTGCTTTCCCCTCTTTGCACTTTCATCAGTGGCGCACCAGCAGACTTGGCCACAACCACCAAGCAGTGGCAGAAACTGAGATTTACCGTGAAATGTACATGCTCACCACAGGGTTTCAAAATCCAAGCAAGTGAAAGGAGGCAGCTGCACAACCAGAGTTGGAGGCCATGTTACAAATGAAAGGATTTTCAATGACACTGGCAGCAAATGGAAACGCTGCTGTATTCCCATCTTTCAGCTCAGCTACTTCGTGTGGAGTTCCTGGATAGACAACCTCTGATCACAATAAGCAACTCCACAAATGCTGATGGCTATTGTGTGCTTCTCTATTACTTGTGCCTTAGCTGCACCTCCACTGGTCACATAATAGAGACCATTCATGTCCATTGCAGTGGGCCAAGCTGTCCTGAGTTCCTTACTCTGGAATCCATTGGGGTCCAGATACAGCAGTAGTCTTGATATAAGCTTGTGGCAAAATGTGGCTCAGATTTTCGAGTTGATGACCATGCATCAGACTGGAGAAAAGTTAGTGATGTAATACATTTTAATCAAGATAGGGGGTTTAGGGTGGGTTACAGAGGATGGACAAAAGAACAAAAGGAAAGGAAGGTCTATAACAGGGTGAAAAGCATAAATGCTACTTTATATAGGTGATAGTATGAGCTGCAGGAAAATATCACTGAAGTGCACAATACATTGAAGAAGCTATCTCAGTGTGCTCTGACTTGACAATTGGTAGACTTTATGTTCAAATTGATCTCTTTAGCATTTGGAGGTTAAGTCAAGTATTTTTGCTAATCGGTTCAACCAGCATAATTCAAAGAAATTCTTATTTTGATGAGCAAAATTAGAGCACATTGGGAATAGACCAGCATGGATTGACAGCTGTTAAATGGACAGCAAACAGCATAGGAATAAGTGGCACAGTTTCAGGTTGGCAACCTCTGACTAGTAGGGTATTGCAAGGATCAGTGCTTGGGCCACCTGTTCACAAAGAGATCAATGTGAGGATTAAATGTAACGTTTCCACGTTTGCAGTGAACACAAAATTAGGTGGGAGTGCGAAATGTGAGGAGGATACAAAGGCACTTCAAGGGGATTTGAAGAGACTAAGTGAGTGGGAATAGTTTTGTCAGATAACATACAACATGGAGAAATGTGAATTTAACCACTTAGGCAGCAGAAACAAAATACAGAGTATCTCTTATTGGGAATGGGGTGGGAAATGTTGAACTTCAAAGGGACTTGGATATCCTTATTCATGAGTCACTGCAAGTTAACATGAAGGAACAGCAAGCAATCTAGAAGGGAAATGGTATGTGGACCTTTATTATAAGAGGATTTGGGAATATAAGTTAAAATGTCTTACTGCAATTACATAGAGCCTTGGTGAAACCAGACCTGGAATATTTCTTGCAGTTTTGGTCTCCTTACCTACAGAAAGATGTACTCGCAACAGGAGGAGTACAATGAAGGTTCACCAAATGAATTTGTGGGATGGACGAACTGTCCTTTGAGGAAAGATTAAATGGATTACTATTTCCTTGGTTGTTTTGAAGAATGAAGGGTAATCTCATTCAAACATACAAAGTTCTTACAGGGATCAACACAGCAGATGCACAAAGGATGATTCCCCTGGCTGAGGCACCTAGAAAGAGAAGGCATAGTCTCAGATTAAGAAGAGAGGCCATTTAGGACTGAGTTGAGAAGGAATTTCTTCACTCAGAGGGTGATTCTTTGGAATTCTCTACCCCAGAGAGCTGTGGAGGCTCAGTCATTGAATATGTTTAAGACTGAGATTGATAGATTTGTAAATATTAAAAACATTAAGGGACATAGGGACTTCTGTTTGGTCCTTTATATTTATGTTATAAATAGATAGAAGGTAAGAATGGGAAATGTTAGGTTGGAATAAACATCACAGGAGGCATCCCTTCTTTAGCATCATTGGAAAAGGCTCAAAAATCAAACCCAGATCAAAACATCTCACCCAGACAAACATTATGTGTCCTATGTTCTTTCAATTTGTTTTGTATGTCCTGAGAATCTGGTATAGGTACTATGATGTTTTCACCATGTGGCAATGCACCATATTTGTCCTCATCCCTCAGAACCATGTATTAAGATGGTTGAGTATTGTTCGGGGTCATCCAATGAAGTTGTGGTTTATGATTCCAGTAACACATCACAAACAGATGGAGCGATAGATACAAAGCCACTGTATTAACTGCATTAGAGCAACCAATGTATAATTTTGTTTTAGATGCTCAGATAAATCCTATAGTGTAATCAAACAAGAGTTCCAGGAATCATCATAGTCTGTTGTGTATTGTATTATATCATGAAGAAGGCAACTTGCTTTTTCTGAAACTTGAAGGTGTTGACAATGAAGAGGGGTAGATGCAACTGTGTCCCAATTGCATGTGGATGGTGTGCAGGGAGGGAAGGTGTAGAACAGATGGCCAGAGATATTTTCGAATCCAGAGGTTTAAAAAAATTACAGCAGATTCACAAGATTAAAAACCACGTCACACCTGCCCTCACACCCACACACTGTCCAACAAATTGCACAGTGAGATGAAAGTTTATATTTATCATGCAATCAATCAAAATCCCAAAAGCTGAAAGCTGGCAGGAATTAACTCAGTCCTGAAGAAGGGTGATACTCAAAATGTTGACAGCTCCTTCCTCCAGATGCTGCCTGGCCTGCTGCGTTCTTCCAGCCTCCTGTTTGTCTAACCTTGTGTCAGATAACTTACTTTCTCAAGTTCCTCATCAATTACGCATACAGTCTCTCTGTTGCAACAACAGAAGGTGCTGATCCCCTTTTACAATTGCCCTACTTGTGAACCTTGGACAGACTTAAAGGAAATAAGCTTATTGTCCCAATAGCTGGACAGCAATATCCGTGACTGTTCTTGGGGCCCACTGGTGCATTGAGTAAAGAAAATGGCTATTTTGAATGGTTATAAGAGAAAGATAAAACTATTCTCCTATAAACAAGATTTCAAAGAATCCAGTGATTAGAAAGGGCATGCACACAAAAAGCTGTACACAAGCACAACTTTGCTACTCTGAGGAAGAAAGCACAATTGATAAGGAGACTACATTCAGTTTGAAATAAGAACATAAGAACTAGGAGCAGGAGTAGGCCATCTGGCCCCTCAAGCCTGCACCGCCATTTAATAAGATCATGGCTGATCTTTTTGAGACTCAGCTCCACTTACCCGCCCACTCACCATAACCCTTAATTCCTTTACTGTTCAAAAATTTATCTTTGATGCTTTCTGTTAACTCTTGTTGACTGAATGGTTTTCTCTCCACGTCAGTCCTCTGTCTTGCAGGCAGGTTTGCCAGCAGTAGAAACCAGCCATTGTTTTTCATTCTCTTGTGCCCTCCATTGCTTCACACTACATAACAGGCAACAAGAATCCCTTTTTTTAATCTGAATTTTTAATCTGAATCCCTTTTTAGTCTGTCTACAGCAGTCCCCACAGTCTGAATACACGTTATTCTATTTCTACTATGATTTTTAGAACATAGAACAGTACAGCACAGTACAGGCCCTACGGCCCACGATGTTGTGCCGACCTGTTATCCTACTCTGAGATCAAACTACCCTGCATACCCCACATTTTACTATCCTCCACGTGCCCAGCCAAGAGCCACTTGAAGGTCCCTAATGTACCTGACTCCACTACCACTGCTGGCAGTGCATTCCACGCACGTACCACTCTCTGTGTAAAGAACCTACCTCTGACATCTCCCGTATACCTTCCTCCAATCACCTTAAAATTATGCTCCCTCGTAATAGTCATTTTTCACCCAAATACACAATGATGTCATCAGCTACAGGCCAGTACCCATTCTTACACTTTTCATGATCTTTCAAATAATGATAAGTTTGCAAAGGGTGAAGAAATCATAGGAAAAGCAGAATAACTGATAGTCAAGGGCATTATTCTATCCTTATGGTCACCAAGCAGGAGGAAGGAGACAAAGAAACAACTTATAGAAAGGGAAAGTGGGTGTAAAAGAGTCATAAACAAGAAAACATAGATAGGAGCAAGAGAAAATATAGATAGCAGCAAGAGAAAATGTAGGATGCCAGAGAGATGGGGGAAACTGAAAGATTGAAATGCTGAAAGAGTGACATAGAAATTTGAAAGGCAAATGATTCTCAAGTTATAGGACGAAAGCACTAAAATGGTTTTGCATAGTCAAACTGAAGTCTGTATGAGTAAAAAGGAAGCAATTTCAAATCTGTAATCAAATTATGAGATTCAAATAATAATTAATAAGCAAATGAGTTCTGCTCTCATAGTTTACCATCAAAATGTACTATCTTGGAGACACAGTGAGAATACAAGAAGGTGAGTAGGCATTACTCAAAAAATGGTGCAGTTTGCTGAACCAAGACACTTTTCTCCCATTCGTACATTCTACGTTCATCTTATTAAAATGCAATTTCTTACTTAATTGTATTTGTGGAAGCGTTGATTTGATTTCAGAAATGAGATATCAAGAACAATAATATAATGTAAAATGGTAATATCCCCTTCATTACCTGAGCCAGTAGAAGCTGGGGACTTGCTACGTCGGGAAGGCCCAGGGGTCTTGGTGGTAATGTTTCGTGCTGTAGCACCACCACCTGCACCAGGAACTTTAGTGTATGAAGTGGACTTAACAACTCGACATTCTGTGGGTGCAAAAGAAAGGAAGCTTTCTTAGAAAGTTACATAATCAAAATTATGTTTTGCTTCTGGAACTTAAAATATACCTTAACAACAATGTACATTTTCATAATTCATGATATTTCAGAAAGCTGTAGAGAACAATTCACAATTGGAGAATGAATCAACAATACCATTATAATGGACAATATAAATGTAAAGGAAACAAGAATACAGAATGAAATGAATGGCTGAACAGAAAAGCATGGTTGAGGATTAAATTTGTAGCACACTTTTCATAGCAGGAAGGAAGCAATAAAGGTATTATGAGGGAAAGACTTGTTTACATAATACTACTTCAAACAGCATGATGCAGGTTTTTGGATTCAAATACAATCTCTACAAATGTCTGTTCTAGTTTGCTGTTGACATGTGACCCCTTTCAAGAGGCACACACACTGGAGGCTGACATCTTAAGCTTCAATAAAGTCTTCGTGTCGATCACACTGCTGTGTTGTACACTCAAAACATTGTGTCAGAAGTGGTGAATGTCCCGAGCTCAAACAAAATGCACAGCAGCAGAGCTGTGAGCTGCCGCTGAGAAAGAAAATAAAACAAAGGTCATTGTGAAAATACTGCTCGGGAGAAAATGGCTGCAGCTTTTCCCCTACCATCACCTGTTCTAATTACTGGAGTTATGAAAAAAAAAGCTATGAATTCTTCCATAAACAAGGCAGAATTATGAGATATCCACAGATTTGTTGAGCAAACCAGAATGAACACGAGTTGCTATACTTTTATTGCTGTTGGGAAGAGACTTTTTCAAAATATATTCCACCCTGAATTGCACTGTAGAGCAGAAAAAATACAAAGCAGTAATTTTTAAAATTTTGAAGATACCCTTAGAGTTCCAAGTGAATGCTACATATGAATGGTATCTATTCAAAACTAGTGAACAAAGTGAAAGAGTCCATTAATCAAAATGTGTCATCATTGACTCTGCTTGCAGAAACTTGTGCATTTACACAATTAAAGAATGAGCTAATTAGAGACAGGATTGTATTGGGCATATGGATCCAAAGTGAAATCGTACCTAATGAGAGAAAACTTAAGTTCAGCCCCTTAAGCCTGCTCTACCATTTAGAACAATCATGGTGATCTTAACTTAGCCTCATCTCCACTCTTGCCCACTATCCATAATCCTCTAACCCATTCCTAGTTGAAAATCTTTTTATCTCCTCCTTAAATTTAGTCAGTGTCCTGGTGCCCACCACACTGTCAGGTAGTGAATTCTACAGATTCACAATCCTTTGAATGAAGTAATTCCTCTACTTCTCTGTTTTAAAACTGCCGCCCCTTAGTCTAAAACTATGACCCCTCATTCTAGATTGCCTCACAAGGGGAAGGGTTGAATCTTTATCTACTTTGTCAATCCTCTTTACCATCTTATATAACTGAATTAGATCTCCTCTCATTCTTCTAGCCTCTAGCGAACGTAGGCATAAACTGCTCAATCTCTCCTCAGAAGACACGCTGACATTCAGGAGAGCAATTGACCTGTGCACAAGAACTGCAGTTGTGAATCAACAGCTAGAGCATATTCATGGCAAAAGAAAAACAGGTCTTGTGTAATGCTGATAGATATACCAGGCTCACAGCATGGAACAATCACGGACAAAGAGCTGAATGTAAACATTGTGGAAGACAATGTGCAAAAGAAGAGAGTAAGTCCACAGCAATCCAACAACAGAAATAGAACAACAACCACAAATAACACAGGAACGACAATTGCTCGCAAAAGAACATGCAATTGAACAGCCAATGACAAAATGCACACTTACCATTAAGAGACCAGCACAATTTATGTACTGCGTGCGCAATACATATGCAGAAACTGATGGAAATAATGAATTGCTAAGACGTGAGAACAGTAATGTATGTAGTTGGTTACTTGGTTAACTAAAAATATACATGATAATATATGCATTTTTTTCGTTTTATGTATAAAATGAGGAATTTTTGGATAAAAACACAATTATGCACAGTGCCTGATTTAGCATGCAGCAGTCATGTGTCCTTTACCATGACCCACATTGTCAGCAGACATCTTAAAACTTCACTTCAATAAAGTCCCCGTGTTTAAAACACTGCTGTGCTGCATATTTAAACACAGTGACAACACAGCTGGTGAAGGGGATTCTTCAATGCTTTCAATGAAGTCACCCATGGCGGCTAGAGAGGCAGGAGGCAATGACACTGTCTAATAACATGGAAATCAAAGCAAATCTGTACAATGCCGTTTGAAACTGCATTATGTGAGAAGAAATGTTTCATACAGAGAATTTAGGATGAGGTTCCAAAAATAGGGAGGGCTGTGTCTGATTAACAATCATTCAATCAGCATGGGAAAATGGAGTAAACCAGACTCAGAGACATTTGATATAAGACACAATTTTAATTCAGGGCATGCAGGGGTAAGACTCCTTTCCATTAGACCATTGGGAAGTGAAGGCCATTCAGCCCATCAAATCTCTCTGTTATTCAATGAGATCGTGGCCAATCTGATAATCCTCAATTCCACATTTGTGTCTTTTCCCCAGAACCCCAGAATCCCTTACGGATTAAGAATCTTTCTATCTCAGTTTTAATATACTTGATGGCCCAGCTCAACAACTCTCTGCGATAAAGATAGGTTCACTACCTTCTGAGAGAAAAAAATTTCTCCTCATTGGTATTTTAAATTTATGATCCCTTATTCTGCGACTATCTGCTCTGGTCCTAGATTCTCCCAAAAGGGGAAACAACCTTGAAGCATCTACCCCGTCACTCCTCTAAGAATCATTTATATTTCAATAAGGTTGCTTCTGATTCTTCTAAATTCCAATTAGTAGGTGTCCAATGTACTCAACCTCTCCTCATAAGACATAAGAACCATTCCTCATATGAGCTTAGCTAACCTTCTCTGGATTGCCTCCAATATCAACATACCTGCCCCTAGATATAAAACCTAAAATTATCTACAATATTCCAGCAAAATCTCCATTCCTTTCAAAATAAAATCAACATTCCATTTACCTTCTCACTGAACTTGAATGATTCATGGATGAGGACTCCCAAATTCCTCTGTGCTGCAGCTTTCCGGAGTCTTTCTCTATTTAAGTAATATTGAATTCCTCCACTCTTCCCGCTAAAGTGCATAATCTCACACCTTCTTACATTATATTCTGTCTGCCAAATTTTTTCTCACTTACTTGGCCTGCTCATATTCGTCTGAAAACTCATTGCGACATTCTCACCACTTGCCTTCTCACATATTTTTGTATCATCTGCAAACTTTGGTACTGTACATTAACTTTCCTCACCCAAGTAATTAATATAGATTTTAAATAATTTTAGCGCCAGTGCTGATCCATGAGGCCCACTGCTTGTTATAGGGTCTTACAAAAAATTGCACCCCTTATCCCAACTCTGTCTTATATTTGTTACAGAGATAGTAGGAACTGCCAATGCTGGAGAATCTGAGATAACAAGGTGTAGAACTGGATGAACACAGCAGGCCCAGCAGCATCAGAGGAGCAGGAAAGCTGACGTTTCGGGCCTAGACCCTTCTTCAGAAATGGGGGAGGGGAAGGGGATTCTGAAATAAATAGGGAGAGAGGAGGAGGCAGATAGAAGATGGATAAAGGAGAAGATAGGTAGAGAAGAGACAGACAGGTCAAAGACGCGGGGTTGAAGCCAGTAAAGGTGCGTGTAGGTGGGGAGTTAGAGAGGGGATAGGTCAGTCCAAGGAGGACAGACAGGTCAAGGAGGCGGGATGAGGCTAGTAGGTAGGGAATGGGGGTGGGGCTTGAGGTGGGAGGAGTGGTTAGGGAGGCCAGGACGAGCTGGGCTGGTTTTGGGATGCGGTCGGGGGAGGGGAGATTTTGAAGCTTGTGAAGTCCACATTGATACCATTGGGCTGCAGGGTTTCAAAGCGGAATATGAGATGCTGTTACTGCAACCTTCGGGTAGCATCGTTGTGGCACTGCAGGATGCCCAGGATGGACATGTCATTCAAGGAGTGGGAGGGGGAGTTGAAATGGTTCGCGACTGGGAGGTGCAGTTGTTTGTTGCGAAACGAGCGTAGGTGTTCCACAAAGCGGTCCCCAAGCCTCCGCTTCGTTTCCCCGATGTAGAGGAGGCCACAACGGGAACAGCTGTCTGTTTGACCTGTCTGTCTCCTCTCCACCTATCTTCTCCTTTATCCATCTTCTATCTGCCTCCCCCTCTCTCCCGATTTATTTCAGAATCCCCTTCCCCTCCCCCATTTCTGAAGAAGGGTCTAGACCCAAAACGTCAGCTTTCCTGCTCCTCTGATGCTGCTTGGCCTGCTGTGTTCATCCAGCTCTACACCTTGTTATCTCTGTCTTATATTTGTTGGCCAATTCTCTATCCATGTTAATATACTACCTCCAACACCAAGGGCTCTTATCTTATTAAGTAGCCCAATGTTTTGTATCTTATCAAATGTCTTCTGGATTTCAAAATATATTGCCTCCACTACTTCCTTTTATCTAGTAAATTTGTCAGGCATGATTTCCCATTCATGCAACCATGTCAACTCTGCTGGATTATACTATGTATATCTAAATATTCTGCTATTATATCTTTTATGACAGACTCCAACAATTTCCAGAAGAAATGTGATGCTAACTGGCCTAGAATTATCAGTTTTTCTGTTTTCTTCCCTTTTTAAATAAAGGTGTTATATTGGCAATTTTCCAAATCTCTGGTATTAGCCCCATTAGTTTCCATAGCACTTTTTATCTAGTGATACACAGAGTCATTGAGTCATAGAGTCACGCAGCATGGAAACAGACCCTTCAGCCCAACTTGTCCCTGCCAACCAAGTTTGCTAAACTGAACTATTCCCATTTGCCTGCATTTGGCCCAAATCCCTCTAAACCCTCCCAATCCAGGTACCTGACCAAATGTCTTTAAATGCTGTAATTGTACTCACCTCTACCACTTCCTCTGGCAGCTCGTT